ATGAATATCTGGTGTTGTCTTCGTCGAACACTAAAATGTAAGTCTAGCATGCACCGTGATGCAATTCGCACACTGCGACAGAACGGCACAGAACGGGAACATTTCGGGACGGGAACATGACCTGAAGTTTCGTTTCTCCTTCTATAGTTTCTCATGGGGGGTGGACACGCCCCTAGATGAGTAGCCACAGTCTCAACTCACCTACACTGTACGTTAATAGACTGACACCTATCAGAAAACAGCTACTCCCCTGGTTAATACTAAGAAGCGCGTTGGATTGTATCCGACAGTTGACAGTGCAGTATTCTTCACAGAAGTAATTCCTACATATGCTGTTGACGATACAGCCGCTAGAATTGATTTTTAATTACAGGAATGTGGCACACTTGCAGACCGTTTTGGAGCTATTTGGCCTCTCATCAGTGCATGGTATGATTTCGATGACTTCCGATAGTTAAAAATTGAAGTTCTTTCAAAGTATCATTCCTCGAACTAGGCTGAAGCGAACGACAAACAACATATTTGTCATCGCCCCGTCTGCTCGTAAACGAGGTAAGCAACCGCATATTCAAATCGACCGATTCTTCGTATTAGGAAAAAAACTCCGCATGTTGTAAGGACGCATACTTGAAGACTAACTGTAAAAGAATACTCTTGATTTACTGCTAGTCTTCAAGTATGCTTCCTTACTATATCGAGTAGTCCAACGAAAAGTATGCACCTTGCTTTTCTCCTTGTTTTGTAACTTAACGCAAAAATGCTCGAAGGGGGACATATTTTAGATGTATTTTTCTACCTGTGCCTTCAACCCCCTAGCGAGGGTGAGTAACAAGCCTAAAATTTTGAATGGAAAGTGGGGTCGAATGATATATCATTTGAAAGGGCACAACATTCCCTTTCCAATAATACCTAATTTGTTGTATTTACTTGAATAGTTATAAAAAAAGCAATAACATTTACTCGATATTTTTGGTGTTGATGAAAATGCGGAAAAAACGGCATTTTTATCACTACTACATTCCTCAATTTCTCTCGTGCGTTTTTTGGTTCAAATAACAACAGCAGATAAGTGCACAAAAAGAATTTAGGCAAACGTTCATTGATTCAGTTCGGTTGCTTTCGAAATTATTTCAACTTTACTGTAAAAATGGTTTAGTCCATTCCTGAACGAGTTGAAATTGTCAAACTTTATTATCAACATAATAGTTGTGCTAGACTTACTGCTCGCCTCTTTAATAACAGTCATCCCGGGGAAAATGTGGATGATTCGTACGTTGCCAAGTTAGTCCAAAAGTTGGTCGATACCGGATCTGTCTGTAATGTGAAACACCAGCCACGGAAACCGATCAGAAATGAAGCAGTGGAAGTCGCTGTTTTGGGACATGTTGAATTGGATCATACTCAAAGTACCCGTCAGCTTGCTGCAGCCTCAGGTGTCTCCCGTTCGTCCATAATACGGATATTAAAAGCATATAAATTTAATCCGTACAAAATTAAATTAGTACAGGAACTCAATGAAGATGATGATGATAGAAGGCTGCAATTTTGTGAACAACTGAGCCAGCTACTAATTGATGATCCGCACCTATTATTCAACACGTGCTTTTCCGATGAGAGTACATTTTTTTTGAATGGAGCTGTGAATAGGCATAATTGCCGTTACTGGGTTGACAGTAACCCACACTTATTCCGAGAGGTCCATACCCAGTACCCTCAAAAAATCAATGTCTGGTGTGGCATATTAGGTAGTCATATCGAAGGGCCACTTTTTATTCCTGGGAATTTAACTGGTGAGGTCTACCTGAACATGCTTGAAGATACAATTGATCCTCTCATTACAGAAATAATTGAAAATGACCAAAATCATAATGATGATCGGCTTCATTTCCAGCAAGATGGAGCACCTCCTCACTATGTTGCGCCGGTAAGAGAGTTTTTAGATGACCGGTTTCCTGGAATGTGGATTGGAAGGCGAGGCCCCATCGAATGGCCTACCAGGTCACCAGATTTATCGCCTTTAGACTTTTTCCTTTGGGGACACTTGAAAAATAAATGTTTTGCTACGCAGCCCGAGTCCATAGAAGATCTTCGCCAACGAATTACAGCAGAGTGCAGAAGAATAACACCTGATATGCTACAGAATGTTAGGAATAGATTTGAACAAAATCTGTATTATTGTATGGAAGCAAAAGGGTCAAATTTTCAGCACTTGCTGAAGTAGGATTCTACTAAGTCAATTACACATTTCAAAGTACATGTTTGAGTGAAATACAACAAATTAGGTATCATTGGAAAGATAATTCTGTGCCCTTTCAAATGATATATCACTCGACCCCACTTTCCATTTAAAATTTTAGGGTTGTTACTCACCCTCGCTAGGGGGTTGAAGGCACAGGTAGAAAAATACATCTAAAATGTGTCCTCCTCAAAAGCAAAATTGACCTATCCGAGCATTTTTGCGTTAAGTTCCAAAAAAAAGAGAAAAGCAAGGTGCATACTTTTCGTTGGACCACTCTGTATGTGAAAACTCATCAATGAACTGATAGATTTGTCCAACACTATACTACTTTAATCTTTGGACTTAATGATGATGTGATTGGTCAGTAACACGAGTATGTCATTTAATTCATAGAATTCAAGTAATTCTATGACGTCGTGGTAACTATATTTGAATGAATATTCAGATCTCTGCATAATAATAGCATGTGGACATTGAATATACCCAAACCAATACTGTAGTACTCCGATTGTGGAAGTTAACACTATTTCTTCCACAATACCGACAGTTCCAACAAATTCTTCTAAAAACCTAAAAAACAAGCGATCGTTTTACACAAACATCATTTTCCAAACATTAATTTATTTCTGACAAAAAATACTATTCAAAGAATTCAGTTTTGTTGAAAAAGGTGCTGACTGGAAAGACATATGAGACTTGTCAAGCGACTGCATGACAAGTGACAGTTTCAAGTGAACATCTGTCTATAAACCCATATTTTTGCCATAAGTTATTCAGAGCTGTTGTCACCCCATTCTGAACGTCTGTGTCTAAAAATGAAAGCGGCATAAGAATCAGTGTTTGGCTAAGTGAGATTTTCAAACGCTGATTTGAGAATGTGTGTAAAGCCATAAAATATTTTAAGACGTTTAATGTGCGCAGCTATTGTTATGTTTGGAGAATAATAGGTTGGAGAAATTCCAAACAACCACATGCCTTTAGAGAAACATTAAGGAAATGCTGCTGAAAACATCCCTGTCCTGAAAACTTAGGGCGAATGAGATTTATGAGACAATACAGGAATGTGAGCATCCGAGGCAACTATAAATATATTTGTGGGCCGGGTGGCCCAAGAGTGTAAAATTTGAATTTAGTCAGTATCTAGTGCGATCTAGAATCGGATCGAAGGAAATAAATGCCCAAAGTGCGTTCTTTTATCTTTCATATTATTGATTAGCAATTGAGAACGTTCCACATATTGTTGGTTGCATATGACTCACTCTCCAAAACTAGAATGTATGATAAACATTCACTTGCTCTTTGCAGATATTGTCATCTACTACTACATGCAATTCCACTGAACAATAAGCAACAAATAATCACTATATTGTTCACCAAACATAAATTGCACGAAAACTCCCCGAAGAAGAGAACTGATATGTTTTGTTTATTCGTTTATATTGAATGTTCATATATTAACCCTTTCCATACGTTTGAATTCAATGAGATTATTTTCCATTAATCCGTTGTCGCCCCTAAAAAGGCTCAAACTGATTTTTGAACTTTTGAACTTTGCTGCAAAGCATTTGGTATTGAAACTCAATTCAAAGACTGAAGGCTTTGTTCAATCAGACAAAAGTTCAGCACTGTTTAATGTTCAGACGTAGTAATGGTCGTTTTATATTGATGTGCCTACTCTCAAGTCATTGTTTACTACAGAACAGCCCAGGGAAAGATCAACCATATGTTGTTAATATTTCAAAAAAATGGTCACTCTGTTGCACTTTATTACTTGTGGATATATTGGTTTATATCATTATTTAGAATACGTTAGCGCATAATTGACGAAATCATATCCTTCATTGAAGGTACCTTGAATTTTCAAGGTGTATATTGATTTTCGAATGTGATAAAACCTAACTATTCGTTATTGTCAAAGTTGATGTATTGGAAAGGTTTGCAATAACTTCAGAATGCGCAAGTGATCATACATACACTACGTCGTATGGCTTGCATCTAAATGGTCCAACGAGAGGATATATCCAATTGTGAAGCCTATGTTGTGCACTTGGTGGTATGAGAAAAGTATGCTTTTGAAATTATTGATTGGGCATGTTTCTGCGTTTGCAACAAACTTTTTATGAAATATGCCACCAGACATGGCAGACATATGAATATGAAAAGTGGAAAAGTCTATCACACCCGCCATGTGTAACTTTTCTTCGTGTATTCGTATAGGTTTCCGCGGTCAGTAATTTGGTGTACTGTAGTACGGGTGAGTGTAGTTACCACCTGTTCGACGTGTTGGCTTCTGATTTGAAGCCAATTTCAAGAACCAATTGAAAAAGTTACATGACTTGACGACGGCGTCATAATCTACCTGACCCACAAGTCTCCTCACTGGCTTTGTTCACTTGGAAAGAGATCTAGTCCTTCCACGTTTGAAGAAAAGTAGAGCATACTATCTAGAATATCTGAAGGAGACGCCAGCATTTTTTTGAGAAGATATTTTGTCGATATCTCAGAGGAATTTTGAAGGTGATTCATTTAGGGGAGTCGACTGGAATGAGTATACCAGTGAATGAAATAAACCTATCGTTTATTTCTACAAACAGATGGTCATATGCAACCCCTTCATATATTCTCACCAGATACTGACCTGATCTTACTGAAACAATTTTTTCAGACTAATCCATATTATCAAAATATCAATTAACGATGAACAAAAGGAAAACCATTGCCAATAATATAAGATAATACCTATTTTCAATGGGATATTTACCAAAAACGTCCACTCTCTCTACGATGTTGGTTGTAGAACTCTTCAACGGTAGACCTTGGAGGAGAAGAATCACGAGTGCAATATCCAGTGGAATTGCCATTCTTGAATTGGAGTTGAACTCACTTATTACACATACTTGCCATTTCAAACAGTGTCAGTTCGATAAAGCCATTCAGATTAAGATGTCTATTTGAGAACGAACGAACAACCTACTCTAATTTTAAATTTATGGCATGACTTCATTCCGCATTTGAAAGGATTCATGGTATTTTTAACTGGAAGGCGATGAAATATTAACGAAAATTATAACAGTAGAAATGGAACGGTTTTATTATTGATTTGCTCAAATATCCATGAATCTGGAAACATAGATGTTGATCACACTGATTTTTTTGTTTTCTATCATAGTGACTACCTAATCGTTTTTTTCTCAATGACATGCTCTTTCTTTTTTTGTATGTGATGTTCATATTTCTCTTCAGAGTTGCCTCAGTACGGATTTTTGTCACATTTCAAATGAATCGAATATATATACAGATTTACGATTAAAGAATGCATATAAGTCAGCAACAGAATACGCGATGAAATCCATACTTTAGGATCCTTGCACCCAGTACAGTCGACGTGAGTCGTTGACAAATTCTTTGATTTTTAGATTGTTTGATAGTTAACATTGTTCACATGTTCATTGAAGATTTTCTACGGTTTCAATTCTCTTATGCTATACAAACAGTTATTCACACAACTAATAAACTGTGGGCATTTCATACTTCCTAGCGAGTAAATTTTTTATCGTAATAATAAATGCTAACTTCAAATTGTGAATAACTCTGGCTAATACTCCGCCAGCTGGACATTTGTATTGTATTGGTAAAATAGAAAAATTACAAGTTTCTGGACTTGAATTCGATGCACAAGTTGAATACGTATGTACATTATTTTGTTGACCCAACTGCACAAGCTTGAAAATACTAAAAACTCGGAATAAAAACATCAATTGTTTTCACCGTAATCTATCTAATTCGTCTTTTGATCGGTAACGTACTGTTGAAAAAAAATTCCACAGAATCTGACGATAATTTGAAATTAACTGAATGCACCTGAATTAAATGAAATAATCAGATGTTTTGATAGGTATATATCAATTATTTTCTCAATGGGCAGAATATTTGGAATTTTATCAGAAATTAGTTCTGATCAAACCTCCATGTATTGAAGACTACGTGATAAATTTTCTTTGTTCAATCTACATTCGGGACAGCTCACAATATACCTACACAACTCTATATTCTTTGACTTTTCTGTGGAATCTCAATATGAAAAGCAATATATGACATTACATTGGAAAAAACCTACTTTGACACGTATATTTCACACTCTGTATATTATCAAATGATTCATATATATACAGTGCACTGCTATCTGAAATTTTCATGCGGAAGATTACTCAGTCACTTCAGAATTCTAATGAAAGCTTGATGTGGCACACACTGTCGAAAATTTTAGCTGAGAAAATTACCTCATAAAATTGATCCCGGTCACAAACAAACAAAATTACAATGACTTTTTCTAAAATTTCATTTTGTGTTTGTAGCGAGTTTTATCTTTTAAATATCAAGGTTTTTCACGTTATACAAATACGGAATGAAATGTAGTTTTTTGATGAATTATTCCATAAAAGAAAAAGATGTCGACCGATAATAATTTGTTCAATATTTACGATACCATACAGACTCATCATATCTTCCCAGATCGAGACATAATCAATAATAAAAAAGCTCAACTCGAGTGGAACCACATGAAATGCTTCTCCTGGATTACTCATAAATGTTTCCTACGGAAAGAATACATTTTCAGTTCAAACCGAATTCGTAATGACTTTTCCATCAAACTACCATTTTCCCTCACCTCAGAGAGCTTCAGTTTTGCCATGTTGCTTCTTATATTCACGACGAAACCTAGTTTCATAAAATATTGCATCCCTTCAATAATTCATGTAGGGGAACTAGCAAGCAAACTATTTCCAAGAAGAAACGTTTTAGCTTTCTACTTCTCTGTCATTATATAGAATGGAGGAAACTTCCAAATAATGGAAGAAAAAATTGAATACGTTAGTGAGTTACCTAGTTAGTGTGCAAAGATGATCATACACAAAAGTTTCTTTCGGATACAAACTTGAAAAAAGCCTTTATGAAACAATTACATTCGAATATATGAACATTGTATTACAGAAAAAATCACTTTTCTTATTCTTAATAATGAAATCGAAACTGAAACGTTACACAACGATTATTGATATAAAACTTCTCTCACACGGATAATTTTCACTCTTCAGGTGCGTTTTTGATTGAAAGATTTTTTAATTAGAATATTCTCGACATTTGAGTAAGCTCCTCTCATTGAATATTTTCATCAAGAATACTGCGATTGCATGATCATTCATCCTAAGCAATAATTTCATAGTTCTACCAGTTCAAAAACCACCAGTCATCAAGTAATCCAGGGAAGTTTTCATCACCCCATCTTACACTTTCAAAAACAAAACAGTCAACGCGAAAAGCTCCGAACCGCGGCAAACTTATCGACACTTGCCAATCGTCTCTTCACGTGTGTTTCCCGCAGCACGTGCAACTGGAAACACATGCACACGACGCGACAGAAAGCGAGCTGTAGCCACGGTCCAACGCTACGCGCCGAGTGACAGACACGTCTGCGGCTTCGTGTTTTCTCCACCGATTAACAGATCAGGCTATTCTGTCTGCTTCACGAGTCGGTCGTCTTTGGAGAGCGTCTCTAGTGTAGCGCCGCATCTGGAGAAGAGAGTCGTCGAAGGTACGGATAGGGAGAAGCGGGAAAAGTTTCTGGGTTAGGGAGAATCTGCGGCCAGGCGCTGTCACCGTACACTACGTGCGTTTCGGTCTTTAACCGTGAATGTGACGTTCAAAGCGGTGACATTTGGTTGATGTATCACATTTTGATATTGTCTGGAATGGGTCGCCACTCTGGCTGGGTTTAAATGGTAGCGTTCCCCGTGTTTTGGAAGGTTTAGAGCCGTTAGCTTCTCCTAATGGTAGATCACTTCAGTTTCCTGATTTTCCAAATATTCAAGGGTTATATTCCGAGTGCACCAAGCTCAATCGATTGAAATGAGGCCAAATGACTTCATTGTAGTCGATCAAGACATTATGTTGTGAATTATCATACACGATAGCATTTGCTCAGAAGAACTTCATTTATTGAATTGTAGAGCTCAAAAAACTGTACTTTGGGAACAAATATCTTTATCTATCTACAAAAACCAAGGCCTGTTGCGAATATGTTTATAGGTTATAAAACAAGAAATCGTATTAACGATTCTTTAGGAAAAATTTAAAATCTTCATTGGACTGGGAACCCTCTCAAATCAACATTCACATTGTATCATGATAGAATATTAACTGCACACCTGTCAAATGGTTTATAAATCTTGGTGAGTTGCAAAATCGGCCTCTTTTCATTTGGCACTGTAAAGCGCTAGAAATTAGTGATTTATCATCCCGTGGGTTGGGCTACCTATCGGGCGCGTCCCCAGGTGGCGGGGAACGGCCAGGGGACTGGAGGCCCTGTCCGGGAAGCCAATGTGGACTTACGGACGTCCGCCGGACTCCTGGTCAGTGGCAGAAAAAAGTAGGGTGAGGGGAACTAAAACTCCCCAAAAGTCTTTGCAAAACATGCAACCGTGGAGCAGCCTACCCAAGCTGAGGTGTAAGGAATCGTGCCGAAAACTGTATGACCGCAGGGTGATATGCGGTCACAAACGATCCCCTTGGGGAACTGGGCGAAACCTCATTGTGATCAGCCTTCCTCTGGTAATGCGGGGCTCCGCTAGAGGTGACCAACTCTTTCCTTGCTACTCGTGGAAACACACAAGTGCCCTCACTTGAGCAACTCCACGGAGGGGACCCTAAGAAGGTTGAAGAAGCCGCGCAACGACAGTAATATCGCTGCACCTTCCAGAACCTTCGCGGAGACCACCGTAAGACACCTCAAGGTTGCCAAAGAGAGTATCTGTTCGGCGAGTCTTGGCCTACACCTGCCAATATAAAGGAGATATCTCCTAGTGACCTGTTCAACTTCCTGGGAAGGACAGGATGGACCATGACCTAGAAGGATAACTCCTCTGGAGGATGTACAATGGGTCACATGTGTCCTAAGTGCTGTGGGTTTACACTCACCCTCCCTACTCTACAGATACAGATTGGGATTTATCATGGGAGAACTGAGTGTGTGAGATAAAATTGAACTTGTGCGCCTTGTCGGGGATAATGCTTTTTCATAACAGACATCCTGATAGACTTCCAGTGAGCAGCAGTACGGTGAACCGTATAAATTCTGTTTTCAACACAACAGATTGTGTATCGAGGCATATGCTCAAAAACAGAAACAATTCACAATCCACATCGTGAGAATAAAAATGGTGTGTGAATATTGCAATATTTTCGTAATAATCCTCGTTCAAGTTTGCGAATGGCTAGTTTGGACTATAATATCCCTAGAGAAAATATCAGAGGATGCCTTGTGAAAGATAAAATTAAACAATTCAAGCTGAACATTTTACACACTCTGGAACCGGGAGATGAAGAAAGAAGGTTAGAATTCTGTTCGTGAGCTCAACGGTAATATTTGAATGAAATAAACTTCTTCAAAACAAGTTTGTTTATTTTCAAAAACTACACCTCAACGATTGGATCTCCACAAACTTTATTTGAAAAATATATCACAACATGTTTCGCTAAGACATTAGATTTTTCAAGTTCAGAACTTGAAAAAGCTAAGCTAAGATCACCGGACCTGACACCGCTAGATTTTTTCTTTAGGGTACTGTGAAACAGAAAGTTTACGAGTCCAGACCACAGTCAGTAGGAGAACAACGCATCAGCATATCTGAAGCTTGTGCATAAATTACAACAGAACAACTGAGAAAAGTTATATTGAATATAGAAAAAGGTATGACAAGTGCATTGCAATGAATGGAGGATTGGTTATAATAACAAAATTTGATGAACGTTCATGTCTACAATGATTTGTTGAATACAATGATGAATAGTGAATAATATTTTGGAATCCACCAGGATTGAAGTTTGAAAAAATGAGCAGATGGTATGGTGTAGAAAATAATTATGTTGTTAAATTTTTCTTGTGCAAGGCATATTTTTGATGGCAATACGGAACTCTCAGCTAGTGTCCGACCGAAACTGGTTTTTACGACCGAAACCAAAACCGAAAACGAATTTTGTCAACGGTCTCAGTTTTGGCCGAAACCGAAACCGAAACTTCCTCACAAGGATTATGTTTTGAAGGAAAAACAAAGAAAAGGTTATTTCAATCAGTTAGTCTTTATTTATTTTTTTTTTAAATTACAACGTTATGCAGTCTTCCACATTTTTACTTATTGATAATCAACATAAAAAACCTTTATTTAAGAAAAAATATTAATGGCACCTTAAAAATACTTAAAAATATGTGAGGTGTTTATTTAAGTAGGTGTAGATCCTTCTTTTGAATATTATTGATGGGTTTTCAAAAATATTAAACATAAAATTACTTATTTGAGTTGTTACCTAATATCACTTGTATGAAATTTAACGAGCCGAATATGACCGATCACAGCGCAGGAACTCCCGAATGCAGTTTCGGTTTCGGTCGTAGTTTCGACAGGTTTGCCGCCGAAACCGAAACTAAACCGAAACCCGTTTTTTTGCCGAAACTTGACCGAAACCGAAACCGAAACCGAACTTTCGGTCGGACACTACTCTCAGCCTTCAACTCTACTGAGTATTCTCAATTCTCGGTTCTACATTTTCATACCGAACAATTGTTTTTGAATATGTGATTTTTCTCGCACACTCCATTCATTTGATCTGTTCCCGTTTGGTTGGATGAAAAAGTGTTTCTTTTGTTGTTAATATTTGAAAATGTGCATTAATACTTTCCAAAAATGACTTTTTTATTTGGAATATAAATATATATAAGACCTCAATTTGACATCTTTTAAAACTTGAGAATATTAATATATACCTCGAAAAGTCGACCAGTTTTTTTCTCTAATCCATTATCAATATAAGTTTCTCGAATAGAAAGAAGTAGGTGGTAGAGGCCTCTAAAAGGAGTAACTTCGACCACACTTCCATATCACAGTCAATCGAATCAAATATTCTCAATTTGAGTTCTTCACCCCATAGTACATGTAACACCTGTTCATAACAAAGCTTTTTCCACTGCTGTCAGTAAAATCCAAACTTAATTGTTATTGACCTCGATTGTCATCTTCATTAGTGAGTGAGTTAATTTGAGTTCTCAAGTTTGCAGCGAATGACTTACCCAGATGTTCAATTCGGCAACAACTCTTACTACCCCTGTCGAATGCCAATTTGTTTCTGATTTGGATACCTATCCGAAATATATGCTACTCATCTGTGACAAGTGAGATTTGCAACTCCATCATTATCAAAACTGGTCGGAATTGATTTCGATTCAAAAATGTGATTATATGCCAACTTAGCTTACCAATGAATATATTATAGAATTTGCATCAAATTCTGTGTAAAAAATGAAGTTGAGTGCTCAAAAACACTTGAAATGTTTACAAGTGGCACACGCTTTTAACAGATCATCAACCACCGATGAAAATGTTGAGAAGGTGAAAAAATTGTTAAGTTATGTTTTTTCGAGTTATCTTCTCTATGTATTTGTAACTAGTCTTAGTTGTCAAATGTAGTAGATGTATTCGTTATTCAATTATAATAATAATAATCTTTATTCAATCCTTACAGATCATATACAGCATGATATAGGATAGGTACGTCAAGATAAAAAACCGTGTGATGGTAGACAAATTTACAATCAACAATATTAAAATATCACTTTTTAATAGATTTGTACACATATACATGAAAACATTTATTATATTTTCATTTTGCATCAAGAAATTCTTTGATACTATAGTAACATGTGCAAATATACTTTCAGTTTCAATTTGAAGAAGTTTTTATTCCGTTGCTCTCTCAGGTTTGCGGGAAGATGATTGAAAAACTTTATACCTCTATATGAGGGTCTTTTTTCATAGAATGATGAGCTGTGTGCAGGAATTCTGATGAGGCCTCCGTTTCTAGTTGGGTAACCATGACAATGAGAAACTGTTTGATACATCTAACACGTTGCATAAATGACATTATACATTTGAAAACATAAATATATGGAACTGTTAAAATTTTAAATTTCTGATAACACGATTCGTCTTGTTTTAGATTGAAAATGAGTCGAATAGTTTTTGTTTGGGAGACAAATATTCTGCTTGAGTTACTGTGCTTGAGTTATATGATATGTTGCAGTATATTATAGCATAATATACATTGATGAATTGATTGGTATTGATCATATTTCTTAATTGCAATATAGAATGGTAGCCTTTTTTGCTTATGGTATCAATATTATTTTCCCAACTCATTCCACTATCTATATAAGTTCCAAGGAATTTTGTAACTTCAGAAAGATGGATAGTACTATTTTTGACAACCACTTGAATATCAGTCACAGATCTGCACCTAGAATGGAAATGCATACATACTGTTTTCTCTGCATTCACTATCAAAAAGTTTCTTTCACACCAATTCATGAATTCTTTTGCCGAATTATTTAGTTTTTTGTAAGT